AAAAAAAAAAAAAAAAAAAAATATATATATATATATATACACACACACACACTACATATCACATTATTTTTATCTAATCACACTCTGTCACGCGATAATGTGCACTTGAATACGTGACAACATATGTCCCAAACTTGGCGTAAGAATTTAGGGATGATAATAACCGGTTATGGTGCATAAATTTGATCATTAAATCCTAATTTGAATAGATAAGGGCTAAGAGAATGTAAATGTGGTATCTGATAGTTAATCCAGGCAACATGCAGAGTCATTGTTTAACTCTCTACTGGCAGCGATATTTTCCTTCATCGTGACAAAACTTTAATGCCCCAAAAGCCAGCAGCATGGAGTGCATGGAATTTTCTCGGAAGTACAGACAACAAAGCATGCTTAACATACTGGCTCAATGTGCTTCAGGTGAGTAGTACACACAAAAACCAGATGTTTTGTAACGATTCACGGCGCGAAAAACTGTATCGTGAACATCATGAACGCACACGTGTGAATATTCATAGGTTCTGCAAAAATTAAGACGACTGTTTTTTCCCGACTTTTTTGGCCTTGACAACTTATATTTTAGTTTCATGATGTGGATTATTTTTCTTCGTAAATATGCTAGCCCAAGAGATAATTTTCCATAGTGTGTACTGTTCTAACCAGAGCTTTGAATCCCAGAACCTTGGTGACACAAGTCTCCCATTTCTTGTGACTCTCAATCCAGAACGTCCACCAGACCATACCTTGCTTAAGTGGACAACTGGCCATCCAGTCCCATCTGTTGCTGCGACAAAAGCGTCGCTCGAGCTTCATAACATTCAAGGCAAGAGAGGAATTTGGTTTTGTGGAGCATACCAGGGTAAAGCTTTCTTTCTTGTAATAAACTCAAATACTGATATCACTCCTCAAGACTTAAAAAGATTTTAGGAATATGGGATGAACATGGTTTCAATATGACAAATTTTTTGGTTTTTGCAATTTCCCATTTTTAAACAATTCGGATTGGTTTCGCATTTTCTGACTATCTGTGTATCTATGTTTTGATTCTTTCAGGTTATGGATTCCATGAGGATGGATTAAAGGTAGATTTTGATGAGCATTATTTGGCTTATTTCCTTGGATATAGTATTCAGAATCCAATCCTGTCTCTTTATGAACATCTCTCGAAAAATTTGATCATTGTAGTGAAAGTACATATCAAAAGTAAGGTTTCCATTTTACAGGCTGGAACGGAGGCTGCATATGGCATGATTGGAAAAAGTTGTGACCTTCTTAGCAATCCGAAACACATGGTTCCTTCACTGATAGAAACAGGAGCACGCCTTTTCGCCTCTAGATTTCTTCAAAATTTCATCTCTGCTGGCAGTTTAATGTAACAGATCTAGTATTTTGCATCCACACCATTTTCTATCAACTTTTTCTTTTTTGCAATTATCTTTTTCAAAGTTTTTATGAGATAACTGATTTATGGCATTATGTGTTGTAATAGCTTATTGGAGGAAGGAGGAACAATGTTCAGTTTTGAAGGAAGCACAAGAAAGTGTCCTTATAAAACTGTTATCAAGGTTGACAGTCCACAGTTTTACTGGAAGGTAAGAGGACACCGAACAATCTTTGTTTCCATAAATGCATGAAACTTTTACTTTTATTAACAGCTGTAAAACTCATCTCTTAGGTCACAACACAGGCAGATTTAGGCCTTGCAGATGCATATATCAATGGAGATTGCACTTTTGTTGATAAAGATGAAGGTCTTCTTAATCTCTTTCTGGTGAGAAATTGAAAAAAAAAA